AAACCGTTTACCGGTGGTATCGGTAGCCGAGCGGGAAGTTGGGGGAGTCGGTTTACCGGGCACGGTATCGGTAAATACCGACGGTAAATCGGTAATACCGATACCGAAATCCCTCCTCTCTACTCCACTAACATATAACATATACATCATTATTCACAAATATAAAATATTACATACATGAATGTAAGTAAGTATATGCCTCAAAAATATTATAAATAAGAGTTAATAATAAATAATTAGTTACAAAAATGATGAAAAAAATAAAAAAAATCAAAATATTACAACATCACCCCACTTCCAAAAATTCGGTTCGGTAAATATTCGGTAAACCGATAGAAAAACCGCCCGAAATCGCTTCTCACGGTATTTCGGTAATACCGGTTTGTAACCGTTTACCGATAATTCGGTAAACGGTAAACCGGTTACAAACCGGTATCGGTAATCGGTAACCAATTTGACCAACTTCGGTATACCGAAACCGGTAAATTCGGTAAACAATTTACCGTTTACCGACCGAATCCCACCCCTAATGATGAGAAAAATAATTATTTGCATATGATAAGTGGGTGGACGGAAGATGCTGAGCAATTGAAGGAAGAAGTGAGGGAGATGCTGAGAGGAGTTGCGGCGGCGATGAAAACGAACTTGGAGATGATTGACGCCGTACAGAGGTTGGGCATCGATTACCATGTGTTCATTTATTGTCCATCGGATCTACATCTATTGTCCATTAAACTCTATTTTCTGGACCAGACCGGAAGCTAAACCGCAAAAGTTAGTGGTTTACGGTTCAGTGGTTAATCGTTATAAAATCGTTGGTTAACTGTTGATAGAACCGTTCAAAATATTTAACATACAGGACTTGTATATTACACTAATTTAAGAATGAAGTTATCATTGACTATAAATATATTATGCTAATTTAAGAATGAAGTTATCATTGACCATAAATATATTCACTTGTTTCAACAGAGAAGGGTTTGGATTAGTAGTAATATCACTAGTCTAAAAGCTGCAGGTCTCAATTTGTTCAAATCATTTAAAAAGTACCATAATCACAAAAAAAAAACTTATATCACCCTTAAAAAAATAGTTGTTTCAACTATGCCAACTCATGGGATAATAAAAGCAAGTGGTTCTATCATCGGAAGATGAAGTAGAAACTGCTTGATGTTTCTTCATTTTTAAAAGTCAAAATTCATCTGTGTAGCCTAAACTTTTACGTTTGTGACAATAATAGCCACTTTTGGCGAAATATCAAATATAGTTAGAATTTTGAAAGTTTCATAACAAATATAGTCATTTCCATTACATATTTTAACGGCGTCAGTGACACCGTCAGTACGTTAACTTTAAGTTGATTGGGATGCCAACTCACCACACACGTCAACAACACGTCATCATATAATTGACATGTCATTTTGAAGTATAAAAATAATTATTTTAAATAAAAATAATTTTGTTAACTCTTTTGATTATTTTCTCCATCCTCTTTCTCCAAGGGTGTCTCTTTCACCCTCTCTCTCATTCCATAGACCTTCAAAAGCCAAACTCTCTCATTCCATAGACCTTCAAAAGCCAAACGGAGAACCACCATAACCAAAAGCTCCATGGAGAAACCCATAATGCCATTGGCAAAAACCATCTCTTCCCCCGCATCTTCTGTCGCCGTCAAGCCTTCTTCGTCCAGATCCTCACTATTTTGTTACCAAATTCGCCGCTGCTGCCGTCACTGCTGTGATTTCTCCTCTGTCTCTCTTTATGTCCTTCTCCCATCCCATCTCCTCTACTACTTTGGCCTCGACTTTGGGAGTATTGTTGAGCACGAGTTGAAGGAATACTGCGACTGTTACAGAGTGTTAGGGCAAAGAAAAAAACCCAAATCCCTGAAGAACCAAATTGAGAAGGCAGTGATGGGGATTCTAAATCGGTGGCAGAGACGGTTTTGTTTGCAGTCAGCGATGGATAGAGGAAAAGGTGGGAGATGTTTCTCCTGGAGCTGGCGGAGGTAAGAATGGAATTGGGATGTATATTGTTGCCCCGTTCATATCGTCGGAACTGAAGGCGGCAAGAGTAAAATCAATCCCCACCTAGAACGGCCGCCTTCTCAGGCGGCGATAACTTGTCCCTACTTCTCCGCCTCCTCTTAATCGCCACCGGGAAACATAGTAACAACATCGGCGATAGGCACTACAAGAAAAATGATAATTAGCGGCTAAGTCTATTTGCCACGATAGGTGATTTATGTGCCTCGATAGCTCTATAGTGGCACATAATTTTGTGCTGTCAATACTGCTGCCGCTAAATCTCTTTACCGGCAGATGTTAGCGGCAAATATCATGTGTCTCTAATAATTTATTCAAAGACATTTATATTTGCCTCTATAAGTATATTTTAAAAGAAAATAATTAATTGAAATACTCATTCCCCAACTAATATATTAGCCGCAAAATGTATCAATTAGAGACAAATTCATTGCTTCTAAAAGGTAGTATTAGCGTCGCATTATGGAATCAACTTGGTAGAATTGCAGGCTGATGTAATTGTCGTTGCCCACACAACTTTATTGTTTTCAACATTATAGTTTACTTATTAAAAAAGAAAGTATTGATAAATAAATATGAAGAAAAAACCCTCTTTATTATATACTCGAGTCAATCATTCAACAAATGGATTCAACCAAAACAGAATTCTCAACAAATAAAACATACAAACAATAAAGAAACTACAAAGAAATATCGGCTGGAACGTGTGATTCTATAGGCCTCCTCGTCCTTAAAGATTGAAACTTGAAAGTCATTCGGCACGAAGAATACTTGAAATTTTTTCCTGGTGATCGAGCTTGCAAAGTTGGATTTGTTGTTGCTGCGAAACCAAGACTATACCAATCAGTTAATTAATTCAACATAAAAATTTGGATTACAAATATTTCTCAACTTGACCATTTAAGTTGAGCAGAGTACATACGGATCCACAAGGAAGAAAAGAACCATGATCCCTTGATCCTCATCGTCCATGTAGACACCAGCCCATCCTTGTTTGTCTACTGTTCTTGACGAGGATTCAGGCACCCTAAACTAAACAAAACCAATTGATTTTTGATTGCGGGCTACCTGCAAAGAAAATAAAGCGGGAACAATATATTTAGAAATAACAAGTAAACCAACCTTCACGATCTTATGGCAAAAAGTAATCGCACTAGGTAATAATGGAGCTCGATTTGTGGATCTGCATCCATACGTCGAAACTCAAAACAAAAACCCGGTCAAAGAGAAACAAGACAACGACCAACCAGAACTTAATCACAGTGCAACGAGCTGATTCTAATACAGAACGAATGAAATTTAATTAATGAATTTGGTGAAGCCGAACCATCTAAATGAATCCACGGAGAAGGGTAAGAAAGAAAGGATCCCGCTCGTAATAGAACGTAATACCCAGCAAAGCAGAGCAATTGAAGAAATCAGAGCTCAAGACAAGTAATCCAAATCCAAATCAAAATATGGTAAAATATCACCCAAAAATCTCCTGTCAACCCAGCCGACTGATTGGGTATGAAAAAGCTAAGGGAAGGTAATCGGTTGCTGCGACACAAGGCGAAAAGCTCTAGATCTGGAGCCTCTGTGCACCAAAAAGATCTGCAAAACAGGCTTCAGTCACGGGAGAAGTGATTAAAATGGACGAGGAGAATTCTCGCTGAAGGAGGAAGCCACGGGAGAGCGAGTAGCAGTCTGGCAGAGCTTTCACGCGGAGAAATCAGAGCGAAACTCATCCTCCATAAAGGGATCGGAGTTTTACAATTTAGGGTTACATAAAAGCCCCTTTAAAAAATCATTTTAAATTCCCGATGCAGTTACGACGAGCCGAGTTTTTGGTTATCTCTCCCCGCCCTACACAACAATTAATGTAAAGAATACTATAATTTCAACTAGCTTATAACCCGGCCCTTGGCCGGATAACAAAGTTTAAATAATAAGAGTTAATACTTTATCATCATTTTGAAAATCATATTTAAAATCATATACTCTTTGACTGACCAACAATTTTCAAACTTCATATGTTCTACATATCGTTTAATTGATTTAGCATTTCATTGATCTATATGTTTGGGTCAAATATTGTGAGCATCTAACATTTATTTTAGTCTCGCGGCGACAATTCACGCGGATGATGAAATAAGGTTTCGTAAAAAAAAAGTTTTTCCTGTAGATTAAGCTGTAATATTTGTGTTAACCCCCTCGGAAAATGGTTTATATAAATTCTTCTGATTGGATGGTTCATATGAAAATTAATTGGGTGTTAAATAACATTTGGGTGACTTGTCACATTCTTTTCTTAAAATATGAATTCACTTGCTTGTTTCTTGTGCTCATAAAACTGTCTCCACCTTAAATTCAAGAAACGAAATAAAATCACGGTAAAATTTAATTATTAATCACATGTTCTAAATTACATTAATAAGTAAATTAGTAAAATATATTTCAAACAGATACGAAAAATGCGGTAGCGGAGAACATAAAGTCTCAAATATACCAAACAAATCTAAACTATCTTGCACACAATATATTAGAATCGAAAAGTCTAATTATTAAGGATGAGAATCATGAGACTTTCAAGTCCCTTCTTGAAATATTTGGCTTGAGTCGTTTGCCATTCATTTATCTAGCAAATTGAACAACAAATAAAACAATTATGTTTTGGACAAAGACTTGATTTTAACCATTGGGTTGAACAATAAAATATAAATTTGGAGTCAAGAGTCCAAGATAACTTGAATTAAGACTGTTATAAAAAAACTTGATTTAAGACTAATTACTCAACTAATCTGAAAAGTAACTATTGATTATAAATCAAAGTTCTTTCTTCTTAGACACTTTGATGTGGAAATAGCTTTCGTCATTTTATAAATTATGGATGGAGTCACTTTAATGAGTATATCCATACAAAAATGTTTGGCGTAAAAACCATCTGGAAAGTAGGTTGAAAGGACTCCCATAGGATTAACTCGAGGGGGCCTCATTGCTGAGGCATCCCTTCATTTTCTCAAGGTCCATCACAGTTGCTGACCCTTCTGATCTCCCCTTCCCAAGAGGCTGCTGGTCTGGGGGACGAGTTTGATGGTTCCCTCTGGATGCCACCATACATTGATCGGTTGAACTTTGGTCTAGTTCCGTCGGTTGCAATGACACCTCCTCTGGGACGGGATTGTTGCTCGCCCGGACTGCGGAGTTGCCTTTAGCCTTTGTCGATCGGACATCAGCTGGAGAGGCCATCGTGGATACTCTCGCCGGTTTATTACCCATCAGCTTGTCCCCCTCTACTTCCTCCCTGCTGACTTCTTTCCTCTTCTTTTTCGCGGTATGAACACCATAAATTCTCTCTGAAGTAACCTTAGGAAGGTCAGTCCGTTGGGGTTCACTCCCTGTATTCACTTCTTCACTTTCTTCAACAATCAGCACATTATATCTAGAGCCACCTGTCGGGCTCCCAGCTTCAGCATTATTTCCTTTGCGCGTACTCGGTACATTAGCTCGATTGGCCAGGTCCTTCCTTCGAGGTCGCTTTTTTGCTATCATCCAGTCACCATAAGTCGTCTCCGGCTCTTTTGTTTCTTGATCCTTGCTCGGCACAACATCCTCAGTCTCCATTTCCGTCGTGACGTGCATGCATGAGCATTGCCCTCTTTCCCTGTACGTGCCACATTGTAGACAAATCCTGTCCAGCCCCTCATATTGAACAAAATACTTCTTCCCATGCAGCCTGAACATAGAGAGTAGAGGTTTGGTCAGATCAACCTGGACACACACCCTAGCATAATCACTTCGAGCACCCGTACTGGTTGCGTGATCCACTCTCAATGGCTTCCCGATACGTTGTCCAATCTTCATCACTGCTACTGGGTGGAAATACTGAATCGGAATCTCAAGCAAACGCGCCCACACCATCGTTGATGATATCTCATGTTCATACGGGTTAAAATCTTCCGTCCATGGATGAACTGTTAAGTAGTTATCGCCCACCATCCATGGCCCACCTGTAAACGCTCTTTCATAATCCACACCGCTGGTAAAACGTACCAAAAAATACCCATTCTTTACCGAGGTAACTTGTATCGTACCCACTTTAGCCCATATGGACGTCAACCGATTGGCCATTAGTGTATAAGAAACCGATCTTCCCAACGCCTTCACCACTAATGCCGATCGCCATTCCCGAATGAACATCCTTTCCTCAGCTACCGAAAAATAAATAGCAGATTACTTTGCCGGGGAAAGATATGTTTAGAGGCCATTAATTATCCTATTCTTATAAATTTATTGTTAAAAACTAAAAGGATATAGCAGCTTTTTTAATTATCTCGAAAACGATTGATTTTTCCGACAGATAGTTTTTTTGCCTCTAAAAGGAAATAATTAAAGAGTTTAAAAGGAATTACCAGGAATTAGTCGGTAAAAGAATAATTTATTTCAGTAATATTAAAACAAAATAAATTTTAAGCTATTAGCGACAGATTTTGATGATTTTAGGGGCACATTATGCATTTGCTGCTATATGAAACTTTAAAAGGCTTTTATAACTTTTGTCACTATAGTTTAGCCTCTAAAAGTCAATTTTCTTGTAGTGAGGGGTGGGCATTCGGTCGGTTCGGTTTTGACCGAACAGAAATTATGAATACCGGGTCTCCGAATTCTCCCAAACCTCAAACCAAATTCGAACCGAATTATAATTCGGTTAGGTTTTTCATACAACCGAATTTGTGAAGCTACTTGTATTTTCTAACTTTTAAATTATTTTTCACCCCTAATATAAACAATAAATATCAATTATATGCACCATCAATGATAAAACCAAACTTTTCAACACATAAGTCATAAAACATTTCAAATATTTAAGTCTAAAAACAACTAAAAACATAAAAATCCACCATTTGGAGCTTGCAATTATAGTATTCCGGTTTTTCGGTCGGAAATTCGGTTCGGTTGAAAGAACCCTGATTTCCGAACTATCTCTATTTTCCTTCCGAATTCCGAACCAAATAGCATTAATTCGGTTTCGGTTTAATTCGGTTCGGTTCGGGTTTACCGAACCGTTTGCCCACCCCTAATCGGCGAGTATCCTTTTAGCACTTGTCCAATTCCGATTTTCCCTTTACTGATGAGAAATTAAAATAAAAAAGCGAAAAGTGGATATTTTTGGTATTTTGCCAAAAGTGGCTATATTTGGCCAAACCTTCAAAGTTTTGACTACACATGTGTATATTACCTTTTTAAAATAATACATAAATTTTTAACGGTCAAACGTTGGAGTTGACTGCCATCGAGGACAGATTTAACGGACTTAGATGGCAAGTGACCAAAGATTACATAAATGTATAATATCGGTGGCTAAATTAAAGGAAAAGTGATTCGGGTGACTATAATATCTGTGACCAAACTTGCAATTCACCCGTTTTGTATGTATTGGAAAGATTTGTGGGCTTGGATGTAAATGACGGTTCGTCTTTTGGGGAAGATTTGGGAGATTTGTGGGGAAATGAGGGTGGAGATGGGTTGCAGAGGCCTGAATGAGAATATTTAGAAAATATTTCCTTTTAAGATGAAGGTTATAGCTAGTGGCAGTGCTATAGTTAATAAGGGGTTTAACTTGTAACTTTGTAAGGTTCTATGTAGTTAAGATAATTAATCCATGCACGAAGCAAGCTAGCTGAAAACATGAAAGCGATGAAACTGGGATGGGATGGGATGCTAACTATTCAATTGGTTAGCACGGTAATAACCCTTCCTATCTTCGTTCTTTTGTATTTCCATCAATCTAATGGTGATTTTGTTATAGGGGCATTTTGGGGAGGTAAACACAGGATCCCAACCTTGGGTGCGTTATTTTTGCTGAGAAGTTCTAGAGTCCGCCTTCTCTGCAGCCTATTTCATTTGTTTCTTCTCTTTTCTTCTCTAGTAGCTTGATTCCATCAAAACTGTCGGCGAACTTGCCGTTGTTGCCGTCTCCACTCTCGATTTCTCCACCCTCCCTATCGTCCTAGCGGTCCTCGCCTCCTCACCTGCGTCGTCGTCTGCATTGGCTTTGCCGCCTTCGCTTTGCCTCCCTTCTCTTGAGTCGTCGTCGTCAGCGTTGGCCTCGCCTTCACAGCCCTCAACTATTGTTTGGAGTCCATCGGAGGTGGGTTGAAGTTCTGTCATGGAGGCGTTCGGGTCTCTTGTCATAGCCGCAATCCCAAATCCCTCCTCTGCTCCGCCATGACTCTCATGTGTAAAGTCCGCAACCCCGAAGCCGCCTTCTGTATTGCACATACTTTGTGTAGATCTGTTGTGGAGATAAGATCTGGGTTCATAATGGAAAATGGTTCAGATAAGTGTAGATCTGATATGGAGACGACGCCCCAGATTAGGGTATGTTGTTGGGGATGAAAATGGTGGAGGAGTGAATTGTTGATGTGGTAACATTTCACTAGGACTAGTACTGGTTTATAGTAGTAGTGTTTACCGTGAATTAGGATTGTGTGAGCATGCTCGCCATTGTACTTATGTATAGTAGTGTTTATCAGATCTAGATTCGTAGAGTTTTGTAATTATTGGGAATGAAATATTCAAGTGGTGTTCTGTATTTTTGTATGTTGTAGCAGTGTCCTTCATAGCTAGAGTGGTAGTGTTTTTGTATTATTTAGGCATAGTAGTGTTTTTCATATGTAGCATTAGTATTGATTCCGCAAATTGTAGTAGTGATTCTTATGGTTTAGCTTTTCGTAGTGTTTCTTATATGGTAATTCAGTAGTGATTAACTGATTATGTGTTCGTTTAGTAGTGATTCTTAAAAGTTAAAACTATATCTATCCCGAAATTCCGCCCAAATGGAAAATAAACTCACTATCAAATTCAAAATTAGTAACCGTCAGATATTGCAATCCCAAAATTTTCGCCCCACTTTCAAGGCAATCCCACAAAATCCGCCCCTATCATAAAAAACAGAATTGAATTCATAATTTGATATTTTGTGTTCTTGTATTCCGATTATACCCTTGTTAGTATGGTGCTAACCTCCTATGAAGTTAGCACCCTAACTTCTCCCGATGAAACTGCTTACAAAAATGGATCAATAATTTCGAATATTTTCAGTAGTTCTAACAATGCCAAATACACTTGTATAGCCAAAACTTTGACGGTTTTGCCAAATATAGCCACTTTTGGGGAAATACCAATAATAGCCACTTCCGTCCAATTCTTTGGCGGTGTTAACCAAATAGCTGGCTGGACTAACGACATTGCTGAGGTGGTGGTGACATTTATAAACAACATTGCCACATAGATTAATGAAAAACTTATAAAAAAAATAAAAAGAAAAATTGCCCAAACCCCACATCCCCCTAAACCCAGCTCTGTCTCTGTTTCAACCTCATCAATAAAAAAAATCTTTGTTTCCAATCTGTTATCTCCATCAATACAGATCTAAATTCCAATCTCCTATTTGCTCAATCGACCGCTACATACCCGTCGTCGTCGCCATCGCCATCATCAATCATCGTCGTCGCCAATCGCCATCACCCGCTCCATATCTCAATACCCGTCGTCGTCGCCATTGCCAATTGTCGTCGCCTGCTCCAGATCTCAATACCCGTCGTCGTCGCCATCGCCAATCATCGCCATCGCTAATCGTCGTCGCCTACTCCAGATCTCAATACCCGTCGTCGTCGACATCGTCAAACGACCGCTGCATCTCCCAGTCGCCCCCATCCCCCACTCTCTTCGTGTTCGTCGCATTGCGCAGCGCCCTCTCTTCTCCGGTCGTAGATCTGCAATTTCAATTCTCGACAGTTTTGAAGCTTTGCAAGATATAATGATGTGCAATTAGATGGGAAACCATGAAGATCGAGATCGTTGCGAAGAAATATTCCTCCTGCTGCTCATTCACCTGCAGAAGGCTTCAACCGGAATCAAACTGGTGGTGGCAGAAGGTTAGCTCATGACCCTTTTACTTTCCATTGCAAAGTTTGTGACACTGAATTCCGTGGTTAGATTTAATTTTTAGAGGTTAGTGATAAGAGAATGGATTCATGGCACAGTAGATTAACTTAGCAACCCTTCTCTTCTAGCCAAAATTCAGCAGCTATAGCATAATGATGAGATTCAGTCTTTACGATAGGAGTGGAGATTTCGGACCTGGGTGTATTTGGGAGGATTTCCACTACTGCTACCTCCACTCATGTTGTTCTTCGGATCGCTCCTGCTGTCGTTGCTCGGTTCATCGGACACGCCGCTCCGGCTGATTTCCTCTCTCTGGTTTTACCTTTCCCCGGGTTGCCCTGCACTTTGGGTTCAGATCATCATGGAAGGGTTTAGCCGTCGGATGCTATGAGCCAGAGGGATATCGTAGGGTCAGCGGTGTCGGCGGGGTCGGTGGTGGGTTGGATCTGGAACGCTGTCGGACTGGGAGGAGAGGATATGAGTTTGGGGTTGGGGTCGAGGTCTTTGGTGACAGGAGAGGGAGAAGAAAGAGTTCTTCGACGGCGAGTGGTGGGAGAGGAGAGAGGAAGAAAAAAAATATTTTGTCATTTTTTATTTATTTATTTTTAAATTAAAATATGACATGGCAAGTATTGTTGAGTTGTCAATAATGTGTCCGGTGAGTTGGCAGCCAGGTAAGCGTTTGGTTAATTTGACTAACGGTGTTATTGACGCCATCAAACTATGTAATGAAAATGGCTATATTTGTCATCGAACTTTCAAAATTCTGGCTATTTCTGATATTTCTCCAAAAGTGGCTATATTTGTCACAAACGTCAAAGTTTTGGCTATACAAGTGAATTTGGCCTTCTAACAATAAAAGCAAATCTATAGCATCTTTGTCCACAGAATAAGAAAAGATCCGGATGAAAACTTGTTTCATTGAGTTGTGAATATGTACAATGATCATCATATAAAGGCTTGAGCAAACAACCCTACTTTTACATTAGATAAGCAAAATAATACAAACTAACTAAATTTACTTAACTATAAAACTAATTACTCTAGCTACAGAAAATTATAGGGATGTTGGAGCAGTGTGACGGAAGCCCAATTCAGAAATAGTTGTTTCAACGAACAAGAGTTTGGATTAGTGTGATGGAAGCCCAGTTGTTCAAATCGCTAAAGTAGTACCGTAATGTAAAACCTATGTCATCCTTAAAAAAGTAGTTGTTTCAACCATGCCAACTCATGGGGTTATAAAAGCAAGTTAATCTACCATCTGAAGATGAACTAGAAACTGTCTGATGTTTCTTCATTTTTAAATGATACATAAGGTTTTAACGGTCAAACGTTGGAGTTAACTGTCACCCACGACAGAGTTAACGGACTTAGACGGCGAATGACCAAGGATGATATAAATGTGTAGTATCAGTGGCTAAATTAAAGGAAAAGTTATTTGGGTGGCTAATCTGTTACAAATAGATAATTTTAGTGACCAAATTTGCAATTCACCCATTTTCTATGTATTGGAAATATTTGGGAGATTTGTGGGCTTGGATCGGTTGGTGAAGATTTGGGAGATTTCTGGGGAAATGAGGGTGGAGATGGGTTGCAGATGCTGAATTTTATTTTTAATGGTGACCCATATATATTATTAATATTTCAACTCAGAAAGCAAAATACATAGAGCTTGAAAACTACCTAGAGCAGAAAGGCTCGCTCAACAGTCGACACTACCCAAACTCTACTGATTCTGCATGATCCCGATCTCTCTTTCTAAAGATAGCAATCTTTGTTGAACAATCGGAAATGACAATGAAATAACTGACACCGGATTTACGTGGTATCCCTGGATGATGATCCAGGACTAATCCACGGAAGAGCTCTGAACACTCTTCTAGCTACTGATATTATTGATTGTCTTTTGTTACCTCTACCTTGCCTCATTCGGCTGCTATATACAAGAGGAAGGGAAACCCTAGCCGAACCCTAGGATCACCATCCACAACTAACGTGGTGTCCATGCATGGGTTACATGGGCTAACGTAAATGAGCAGAATTAATGGGCCTAATAACTACAAACAAAGAACCATTAACCCAACAACATTAACCCACTAATTAACATCTGCTAACAGCCTCCCCCAAATTGATGCTGATCGCAAAGCATCAATTTGCTCGAGAGATACCAATGACGACTCTTGGAGAAGGCCTTCGTGAAAACATCAGCAACCTGATCTTCTGTGCGAACATAGTGAAGTGTAATGGTACCATCCCCAACAAGATCGCGTATATAGTGAACATGAATTTCGATATGCTTGGTGCGATCATGAAGAACAGGATTGACGGCAATCCGAATAGCACTGGTGTTATCCACGAACAGATCCATAGGAAGAGGACAGAGAACACCGAGATCACGAAGGAGACGACGTAGCCAAACAAGTTCAGAAGCAACGTCAGACATGGCCCTGTATTCAGCCTCGGTGGAGGACTTGGAGACCTTGTCTTGCTTCTTACAACGCCATGAAATAAAGGCAGAACCAAATTGCACTGCCCAGCCAGTAGTAGAACGACGAGTGTCGAAACAGCCCGCAAAATCAGAGTCGGAGTAAGCACGAAGAGCCAACGCACCAGAGGAAGGGAAAAACATGCCTACATCACGAGTGCCCTGAAGATAGCGCAGGATACGATGAACTGCAGCCAAATGATCAGTACAGGGAGATGCCATGAACTGACTCACCACCTGCACAGGATAAGAAATGTCGGGGCGAGTAGCAGCAAGATATATCAGACTCCCAACAATACTCCGATAAGCAGCAGCATCGGGGAGAGGAGAACCAGAAGAACGACTGAGATGAAGATTAGGCTCCATCGGTGTAGAAACAGGCTTGCAGTCATGAAACTGATGATCAGATAGCAGATCGGAGATGTATGTACGCTGACTCAACAGGAGCCCCTTGGCATTACGAGTAACCTCAAGACCAAGGAAATAAGACAGATCACCAAGGTCCTTAAGATTAAAGGCCGCACCAAGACCATCCTTCAAACTCTGAATACCGGCAGGATCAGACCCAGTGATAACCATATCGTCAACATAAAGCAGCAAGGCAACCAGACCAGAGGAGGTCTTCTTGGTAAAGAGAGAAGGATCATTTAAACTCTGCTTATAACCAAGAGCAGTGATAGTAGCCTGGAACTTCTCGAACCAGGCACGGGGCGCCTGTTTAAGACCATATAATGAACGATTAAGACGGCAAACCTGATCAGCAGTACCAAGAGTATACCCGGGAGGTCGTTCCATATAAATAACTTCATCCAAATCCCCGTGAAGAAACGCATTTTTCACATCTAACTGATACAGGGGCCAATTCTATAGAGAAGCAACAGCCAATAACGTGCGAACAGTAGACATCTTGGCCACCGGTGCAAACGTCTCACTGTAATCAATCCCCATTTCCTGTGTAAATCCCTGAGCAACCAATCGGGCCTTATGACGCTCAATTGTACCATCAGGATTCATTTTAATTGTGTACACCCAACGGCAGCCAACAACAGATGTAGAAGGAGGAGGTCGAGGAACCAGGGTCCAAGTATTGTTGGCATGCAAAGCATCCAACTCTTTCTTCATTGCATAATCCCAAACCGGATCTCCTTGAGCTTGCTTAAAACGAGTTGGGACAAGAAATGCATCCACCCCATGAGCAACATAATCATTAAACTTAGGCGGGGGAATACCTCTCGTGGATCGAGTGGAGTGACGAGGTAAAGGAGCTGCTGTTGTGGGCGAGCCTGGGGACGAGGTTGGCGTTGCTGATGTGGGCGCGCCTGGGGACGAGGTTGACGCGGCAGAACTGGACGGCGAGGTAGAGGCAGGTGAGGAGGGGGACGCAGAACCGTGGGAGCTGGACGGGAGTTGTGGTGAAGTTGATGGAGATGCAGTAGAGCCCAATGATGGGCCGCCAGGGGTAGACAAATCGGAGTCGGGAGCTTCAGGGGGAGTCGGTGGGAGGAAATCAACACCATCAATATCATCATGACTGAAGCCAGGTAAAGATAAGGTAGACGGCAGAAAACTAGGCGAGGAAGAAGCATCGGTGTAGTACATAACATGTTCAAAGAAAACGACGGTAGTAGCAATGCGCATACGCTGAGATTGAGGATCGAAGCATAAATAGCCTTTATGCACATCACTATACCCAAGAAAAACACACCGAGCATTTTTAGAAGACAGTTTAGTACGCTCTCGCCGCGGAAGAAGAACAAAGCAAAGCGAGCCAAAAACACGAAGACGAGTGTAGTCTGGATGTTTCGAGTACAAGGCAAAGTATGGGCTGGTGTTTTGTAAGACTGGGGTAACTTGATAATTGATAAGACGAACAGCAGTAGCTACTGCTTCAGGCCAAAAATGACTAGGGACATTTGAGGCAAGAAGAAGAGCACGAGTAAGATCTAAAACATGACGATTTTTGCGTTCAACCAGACCATTTTGTTGAGAAACGCCAGGACAAGATTTCTGAGTCAGAATTCCTAGAGAACGATACACCTCATACAAGGGAGAGGAACTAAATTCCCCACCAGGATCAGAACGCACTATTTTCACTGGTCGGTCAAATTGAGTATGTATCATCTTAAGAAATTCAGTAGCTACCGATCGAAGGTCTGATTTTTGACGTAGGAAATAAACCCAAGTGAATCGTGTAGCATGATCAATAAACAAGGCAAAATAACGAAAACCATGTCGAGAAAGAACAGACGAAGGTCCCCACAGATCAGTATGAATAACATGAAAAGGTTGATCAATTACTGTGGTACTAGAAGGAAATGACCGACTACTGGTTTTTGCTTCGACACAACTCGTGCAAGAATGTTTCGCAGAGATACAAGCATTATTTTTACCAAGCAAAGACTGCCTAAACATCACAGCCAAACGACTCGAATGAGGATGTCCTAAACGATTATGCCAAAGGTTCCAAACATCACTAGACTGACTCGAAAAACATGTAGGAAAAGACGCAGGACTACTGACAGACCTAGCACGGTGATTATTGATCGACAATGATGATGAAGATTTTCCAAGTTCTTCTAAGTGAAAGATCCTCCCCCGTTTACTCCCTCTGCCGATCTGCCTCCCCGTCTTCAGGTCCTGGATAACACAACCGGTCGGTGCAAACAAAACAGAACAGCCAGCATCGGTAAGTTGTCCCACGGAGACTAAGTTAGGAACAAGTTGTGGTACATGAAGAGTATGCGGTAAATCAAGATGAGAATCATGCATCATACCCATACCCCTAACTTGCAACTGATTTCCATTCGCTACCCGCAAAGACAAATCATTAACCGGCAGCACATTCGTCAAACAACTAGAGTCACGTGTCATATGATTGAAACAGCCGGAATCAAGGATCCAAGGAGACGTTTTACCTGAATTTCCATGAAGGGTTGCAAAGGCAGCATTTATAGCCGTCGGTAAAGACCTTTGGAGGGCAGAATTCACCATGATCTCGATGTCTTGGGCGGACAGGCCGTTGCCGCCACTGCTGCTGCTGGCATCGGCTACATATGCTGGCCGTGAGGGACGTTCCACAACAGGTGCAGCTGGTCGCTCATGAGGCCGAGAGGAAGACCCCTGAAAGGAGCCAGGTGCGGATGCAAAACGCTGAAAAGGAGCTGCTGTCATCCCTCCTTGTGCGCGAGCTTCATGACGCTGCCGAGTTCTACAATCTAAGACAATATGACCAGTTCTTTTGCAATAAACGCAAAAGTTCCATCCGCGGCAATGCTTCTTCAGGTGGCCACGTTCGTGGCAATGATGACACTCCATTTCAGAAATCGGAGTGCGGCGTTGAAACTGAAGGCAATCGGCAGCATAGGCGGCGGACTGAGAGGCTGAAAAGACAGACTCCCCTGCTCCTGGTCGCACATCAAGCTGGGCTTGGGTTCGCAACCGGGTTTCCTCACGAACCAAAACTCCCAGCATTCCATCAAATTGCAATTCAGCCTGATTCAGTAACGTGGTGCGCACAGCCTCAAACTCCGGCCGCAAACGCATTAGGAACTGGAACAATCGAGTTTGTTGCCTCTCGGCAAGAGCATCGGCGGTAACAGCTTGAGGACGAATCGTGGCTTGAATGATGTCATGTTCGGTCCACAATTCCTGGGCTGAGTTGAAGTACTCGGTGATGGACTGATCACCTTGCTCAAGGCGCGCCAACGCGGTCTGCAGCTCGAACTGCCGAGCAACATTCACGGTGGAGTAAGTAGCTTTCAGTCACTGCATCATCTGATGCGCTGTAGCAAACGGACGAAGGCTCAAACAGGTGGAAGCATCGACTGATCCGAGCAGCCAGTGACGGACACGAGCATCCCGTTGATTCCATTGCTCGATCTCGGACGCGGGAAGGGTTGGACGCGGCTGTGGAACAGTCCCGTCAAGAATACCAAGCAAACCATGACCTTCCACGAACACTCGGAATTGAAACTCCCATAAAGCGAAATTTGTTGATGTCAGACGGACAGAAGGACGATCGGAATTCAGTGGCGGAAGCTCTGATACCATGTTGAACAATCAGAAATGACAATGAAATAACTGACACCGGATTTACGTGGTATCCCTGGATGATGATCCAGGACTAATCCACGGAAGAGCTCTGAACACTCTTCTAGCTACTGATATTATTGATTGTCTTTTGTTACCTCTACCTTGCCTCATTCGGCTGCTATATACAAGAGGAAGGGAAACCCTAGCCGAACCCTAGGATCACCATCCACAACTAACGTGGTGTCCATGCATGGGTTACATGGGCTAACGTAAATGAGCAGAATTAATGGGCCTAATAACTACAAACAAAGAACCATTAACCCAACAACATTAACCCACTAATTAACATCTGCTAACAATCTTCTCTTCAATATAATAAACCTGCAGGCTGCAGCCCTCACCAACCAACTGTTCAATCCACTCCCTTCGCAATAACAGAGGAAAATCATCTGCAAATCTTTCAGCCAGGCCTGAATTTTTTTTAATTAATTAAAATAAATAAATAACAAATGTTGATGCAGTTACCAAACTACACGTGAAGCATGCATGCTTCGTCGGCCATGTTCGATATATGTTCATGGAATAAGGGTAATAGAACCAAAAAAAATGATATGTAATATAATGGAAAGATTCCTCTTCTGGCACAACTCTTCCCTGCCCACTTGTTAATATTTTTAGACATTTATTTGCAGTGGCGTAGCCAGGATTTTGAGTAAGGGGGTGCCAATTTAAAAAAATTAAAATAACTATCAATTTTTTATAGTGACCCGGGTTTTCATATTTTGAAAAGTCTGTAAAATACATTCGTTTAGTTCTTGAATAAGCATGTAATTATGAGGTTTTTTAATTTAATTTACTTATTATTTGTAAACGGTAAATTATATATATGCAATAGAATGTATTATTGTATCATGTAAGTAATTGTTGTTTAGTGGAAGATGTCAAAGCTAATAGTAAGGGGATTCCATGTTCAAATCCTAACTATAACATAAACTAATACCCCTATTTTTTAATGTTCTAGCCCCGAGCCAAGGGTGTGCCACGGCACACCCTTCTAACACTGTGTCTCCGCCCCTGTTTATTTGATTCTATAATATTTGGTAGGTAGGTTTTCTATATGTGCTATATGTTTAACTTCGTTAAGAGCCCTAAGCTTAGGGAATTTTTCCAGAAATAGCATCTTTAAAAGAATTACAAAAATAGCACCCAGCCCATTAAATTTACAAAAATAGCACCATTTTTTAAAACCGCACCTCCAAGGTGCGTTTTATAACCCTGAAGATGCGTTTTATTTATAAAACGCACGCCCAAAGTGCGGTTTAAGATCCTGGGCATGAAACCGCATGGCCAATAAAACGCACGCCCAAAGTGCGGTTTAAGATCCTGGGCCAAAACCACATCTTGGCCATGCGGTTTCATGCCTGACCTAACAGAAATCGCATGGCCTAGGTGCGGTTTTGGCCTGACCTAGCAAAACCGCATGACCTAGAATTTTCAATAACGATATGAAATAAACCGATAAACAAGTCAAAAATAAATTTTAGCAAAATAATTCCAACCATGGTAGGAATTTTGACCGGGGCGACATAGCTTTTGAAAATCGGATAAATTCTACAAATATTGTCTTTTTTTTTTAAATTTACCACCAATATGGCGGTTTAAAAACTATTTACATGTATATTGTGCTTTTTTGTTGGTTAACAGCGATCACGCCCGAGACTCAGGCGCGGCCGCTAGTTATTGATTTTTCAATAAAAGCCAGCGGCGCCGCCCGAGACTGGGTCGTTGGCACTTATTATAAGGCCTCAGCGCCGGCGCCCGAGACTGAGGCGTGGTCGCTGCCTCCCTCATCCACTCCAGCACCATATATACTCCACCTTTCCTTCGGTTCTTCACCACCAAAAAAATCAACAAAGTTTTATACGAGAGAAGCTCTGGTTGTTGTCTGGTTGCTTGGAAGATGGCTAATAATAGGTAAGAGACGTATTTATTTTTTTAATGTATTCTTCAAATGCTATAATGATTTTGTTCAGTTAGTAATTAGTGAGTTTGTTTTTTATGTAGTGGTTTTAGAAGATTTGAACTTGATGTTCGGTGGACATTAGAGAAAGTAGAGGACAATTTGGGCGTCCATTTCGTTGGTAGTAGAAGTTTTTAGTTGACTGTTCCATCCAAGGTGAACTATCAGAAACTTTGTTATAATCTAATTCAGAGAATACAGCGTAGAGACGAAGCAGTACAAGATAGTGTTGTGATTACAGGTTTCACTTACTGTCTTCCAGAATGTCAGAATGGTGTTTTATTTCATTATGCGATGCCTATTGTGGATGATGACAGCTTGAATGAGCTTTGGAATTTTATGGCACAAAACCCTTATTGTTTGGGTGCTGAGATACATGCTGAGCTCAGTGAGGATCGTGGTGGAGAGGAAAAAGATGACACATGGAGCATGCCATCCGATCATGACTATGATGACTGTGATGATGGAGAGGATGATGATTAGGATGATGATGATGAGGAGGAGGAGGAGGAGGAGGAGGATGATGAGGAGGAGGAGTAGGAG